GAGAGAATAGCAAAACCGACTGCTTCGACTAGTAGATTAAAAATTTATATATAATGTTAACTGGACCCCCGTCCGGGAAAGTTACACTCAAAGATACTCGGCTCGCAGGCCGGAAAAGAAGATAGAAAATGTTTATGGTTGTTGCTGCTGTTGAGGTTGTTGTTGTTGTTGAGCTTGCTGCTGCTGATGCTCTGGCTGCTGAGTTGGATCGACTAGAACTTTGGCCAACTACTCCACCGCTTGTTGATCCTCCACTTGCGCTTCTTGATTAGCCCCATCCGGCTGAATCTCATTGTTGCGCTCAACCCACTCGTCAAAAGCGGGAGGAGGGTCAGCCCCGAGTACCTTTGCCTCATAAACCTTAGAGGCATACTGGTATCGAAGATTCCAGTATTCGTACTCGAAATCCGGATGGATCAGGTTCCAAGCCAGCTTCATACGCTCTTCGCAGTCGGCCTCATTTTCTTCAATCAGGCGGAGTTGCTCCTTTTCCAGCTCTTTCTTATGAGCCGCCTGATTGTTTGCAAGTTCAGTTACTAGCCGGCTGTTGTCCTTCCGGAGATCAACATTCTCCTTGTTAGCATTCTCCAAGGCTTTAAGGTCAGTTTGAAGATTTTTGACTTGAAGCTCAAGCTCATCAACTCTCTTCAAAGCCGCCTCCCCAGCTTCAGCCGCCTTCCTCAGCAGTTCCTCCTGTTGCAACTTCCTTTGTTCAGTTTCCAAGTCATATGAAATGGCATTGAATTGGCAAATGTCAATAAGCTCATATGCGCGCTTCTGAGCGTCTCTTACCTCCTCCTGCTTCTTGCGCAGAGGGACGCTAAGCCCATCAACTCTCAGCAGCGTCTGCGATACCAGCCGGGGAAAATGTTAGGAAAGATCAAAGACAAAGTATTTGCATCCGGTAGAAAGATTATTGCTTAAACATAGGGCATCCGATTTTATATACCTCGGCAAGAAGAGAGGTGATCCGGTCAAGATTGACCGTGTGCACAACCGGCACAGCTTCCCTCTCAGACCGAGTGATGGTCTTGACCATCCTCTTAGCATATTGCTGATAGTTTGGACGGCTGGAGGTTGTATCTGCAAGCATAGAATCATCTGTAAGGTATTGGGCATATGCCTCGCCAGTATTCAGGCGGTGTCCAGAAGAATCCCCGGATTGGCTTGCTTGGGTTTTTACCCTCATATGCCCAAGAGGCTAGGGGGGATCAAAGGCAGAAGTTTTACCTTTTTCGGACTGTGGGGTCAAAGCCCCCCCAGCCGCTAAAGAACCGGAGCCCGTCTGAGTACGAGCATCCGGTCTTGCTGACTCCACCACCATTTCAAATTAAAGTGGGGAGTGAATTGCAGGCTCTTCCCTGCTTTTGTTGGCTTGTCCTTGTCAGGCGTCTTCTTTTTATGACCAGCAGCCGGGGCAGGAGCCGCCACCTTAGGCACCTTGGCGACTTGCTTGGGAATATTCCCAGCCGGTCGTTTTGGCATACTCGCTACAGAGCGAGGTACGACTTGGCTCCCGGCCTGAAATCAGTCAAAAGAGGATGCATCCGGTTAAAACCTTGTAAACAAGAAAAAGGGTACATCCGGCAAAAGAAGAATAAGTTGTAAACTGAAATATGGTAAAGAATAGACTACCCCGACATTTTTGGCGACCAGCGCCGCCTTCTTCTCTTCCAACTGCTTTTTCCTTAAAAGAATGGCAGAAGTAGCCGGTGTCTTCTCTGGTGGCACCATTCTCTCTGCTTCTTCTATAAAAAGAAGAAAGAAAACATGGTTAGAGATCACACAAAGCATACCCATCCGGGAAAGACTTGATCAATCAGTGAACCTACCCTTGTTAAACATGGTACTTAAATTACAAAGGGACAAAAAAGCCTCATCCTTAAACCAATCCGGATGGGGCACCCAAAATTGGGGAACTATGATCTCGCCTCCGTCATCCAGTGGGGCGGTTGTCTTTAGAAAGAGACCCTTATCCATTATTTGGTCCTAAGCCTCACCCGGTACTCTAGGGAGAGCGCATTTTCTTCCGAGCAATGCCGGATGCTTATTGTATCTACGCAGCCAGCGGTTAAGTTAGGGGGGATGGGGAAGAGACGATATAAAATTTACTCTTCCAATTACTCCATTTGGACGGCTTGTCCAAAGTCATCATATACTCCGGAAGCGTGGTGAGAGTGTACCACGCATTCCACCCACCCGACACTCTGCTTTAGTAATGCATATGCGCAAATGCTTCCCAGCTTGGCTTGACACCCTGCAGCTCGCAGGCGACAATATATCCAAGAATGTTGACCCGTGAATTAGGGGTCAACTGCCATACACCCAAGTCATACCCCTTTAGTATGGCTTTTATGCAGTGATGGAGGGGGAACCGGAGGTCGGCTGTAAATGCCGCCTCGTAGCAGCCGAAGTAGTTGTCGGCATTGTCCACGTCGTCGGTCCAAACGACGCTTGCCTCTATAGGCGAGAAAACCACTTCCCATTCCTCCCCAACCGGCTTCTTCTTTAAAAAAGCAGGGAGTGTGGCGTTTAAAGTGACCACATCCCTGGCGGACATGGTCATATCAGTTGGTTCGCCCTTAGCCGGCCATTTGTAGGCCTCTTCGTCAATAGGAGCCGCCTCTTCAGAAGACTCTTCATCAGAGCCAGGCCCGGACTCCTCATTATCAGCTGACCCCTCTCCGGATTTTTCACCGGATCCCTCTCCGGATCCCTCTCCGGATTCCTCAGCGTTGGAACCAGAGCTATCCAAGATACTGTTACCCGGTGTGCTAGGTGTATTCGGGGAATCTTACGGAACCTCTTCATTAGGACCCATCTCAGCCGGTTCCTCGGCTTGTTCCTGATTTATAGGGTCAGCCGGATCAACGGCTGCATTGTCGGACTGGTAATCAGGGTCGACTGCCGTCACTCTGATCCGAGCCATTCTGTCCTGCACATGAACAGAGACGGTCGGATTCGATGTAGGTGAAGGTTTTTCCAAGAACCCCCAGACGACAATCCCAGTCCTAGACTCAGCCGTTCCTGGTGACCAGTTGACCACAGTCGTAGGTTGTGCCGTGTGTGCATTGGTGTAGTCCATATCCTAATACTATGCAACCGGAAATAAAAGAAAGTGACAAGTATGGGATGCAGGCGACCTTTGAAATGAGAAAGTTGAAAGAGTTGGCTTGAAGTCACCTCAGGCGGGGAACTCCACAAAAGTGTTTAAAGCTGAAAAAGACAAAGCAAATGCTTAGCCGGTTATTCACTAACTCGCCAAAAAACACTCCAGACGGTGTAAGGCCGGATGGGGGTTCTTTACAAACATTTGTAAAGGCTAGCTAGATTATTGTAAAGCTCTCTATGATACCCCAGACGTTATTCAGCGAGCTAGGTCAAAAGTAACCCAGACGGTATAAGACCGGATGAGGGGTTATGACTTGCATTTTGGTAAAAGCTAACTGTATTGTTGTAAAGCTCTCTATGATACCCCAGACTGTATTCAGCGAGCTAGGTCAGAGATACCCCAGACGGTATAAGACCGGATGGGGGGTTATGACTTGCATTTTTGTAAAACTTAGCTAGATAAAATGTAAAGTTCACTGTACCCCAGACGGTATTCAGTGAGCTAGGTTAGAAGTACCCCCAAACGGTATAAAACCGGATGGGGGGTTTGTGATAAGCATTGGTAAAGTAAAAAGAATTGTAAGGCTCACTCCATGATACCCTAGACGGTATCAAGGAAGTTGGGTCAGAGATACCCCATCCGGTAAAATGCCGGATGCAGGTGCTGCAAGCAGCATTTAGGGTCAACCATCCCCCAAACGGTAAAATACTGGATGAGGGTATAGTAAGACCTGTTTTAAGAAAGGCCTGTTCAAACAATACCCAGACGGTGAGTCACCGGATGGGGGTGCATTGAACGCATCTTTAAAATTGAAAAGGTCATGAAAAGACAAGGATGATGACCCAACCGGCTTTAAAACCAGTTGGGGTTTTTGAAATCATTTCTTGACAAAACAAATACCCAGGCGGTGTAATACCAGATGAGGGTGCTTTGAAAGCCTTGCTATTTGAAAGATAAAGAAAGGGTATGGTAGTCTAAACTTGGAAATGGGTCTAGGACCCCCCAGGTGGCTTACCACCCGGATGGGGAAAACATTCAACAAATCCTCAGAAAGAAAAGTAAAAGAGAATAAAGAAAGGGATCCGGCACCTTAGAAATTGCAGAGAAAATACCTAACTGGTAGCCGGATGTACTTGATCTCACAGAGTCGGATGCAAGAAAACTTGGAAAGGAATTAGCAGCCGGTATCAGAGCTCTCAAAGAAATTGTTTGAAAAATATGTAAAGTGCGGAGGAGAGAGAGATTGTCTCTCATTTATAGAAGAGGAACAGAAGGCGAAACGATGGCTTCTGCCCTAAAAACTTAAAATTTGAAAAAAAAAAAAGAGGGAAGAAGACGAACCGTCTCCTCCCATCCGTCTAACACTTGTCACAGGTGACACGTGGACCTGCCACGTCACACCTGTGAGGGGCAGATGTTTAGGGTAAGATACCCCTAAGACACGTGGCCCTATAATGGCTTGCCACGTGTCAAGATCGTAACGGTCAGCAAAGGCCCAATCCCTTTGCGACACGTGTTATTGTACCCTAATTGAGGTACAACTCTCCCCTACTATAAATTGTAAGGGCATACCTCATTAATAGGGACGGAATCATTTTCCAACAACCAACCAAACACAAATCCCCTTGCAAACGCTCTCAAATCGAGAAACATTTATTGTCTTATTTTCTCATTAAGAAAGAGACTAACTTAACCTTCGGAAGCGGAACATCCCAGCCCCAGCCGGAGTATTCCATTATTTGTGCAGGTACAGGCAAAGGAAGGAGCATACTAGGAAATTGTAACTCTCCCGTAGGACACATAAAAAACCCCCAAACAATGTCTAAGAATTTCCTATTTCGTATTTAAAAAAGAGCAAAACAGGTATTTTAAAGGAAAAGAATTTCTAGGGTGTTACACAGAGGGGGTAGGGGCAGTGGCTAGAGGAAGGAGAAAGCCGGAGATGACCAGGGAAAGGGTTGATTTGGTGGTCGAGAAATAGGGAAGGGGAAGATGATGATGGTCGTTCTTGGGTGGCGGGTTGATTTCAGTCCGGCGGGGCGAGGCTGGGTAAGGACGGTGGTTGGCGTTCAGGCAAGAACGATGGTCGGTGTTTAGGAAGGCGGGTTGGAGTTGGGGGATTTTTATTTTTTATTTTTTGTTTTTTTTCTTAATTTTTTTGTTTTTTTTCTTTTTAAATTATTAAACATATAAGGCCAATTAGACGATGGCATGTGCCACCTTCTAAAATCAGTTACCAAATTATAAAACATTATTATTTTATCTTTTTGATAGAAATTTTTCTTCAGTGATATACCACTCTCAGTGCGGCCAACCGACAGTCCAAAAGTGCCGATCGCTGTGGTTGCGAATCGAAGGAAATTTGCTGCAGCAACAAAGCTTGAGAAACAGGACAACAATGGCGGTTAACCAGCAAAGATTTTGCAATCCAAAAGTATTGAAGCTAACTCTAGGGTTTATCGCTCTCTCTATTGCTGCCTACATTGTCGGACCTCCTCTCTATTGGCAATTCTTAGAGGGTTCTGCCCCTGCTTCTCTCTCCTCTTCTTCTTCATCTTCTTCTTCAACTACGCCTTCTTGTCCTCCTTGCACTTGTAATTGCGATTCTCCGCCTCTCATTTCTATTCCTGATGGTATGTTCTTCAGATCTCAATCTACCTTTTTTTTTGGGGGAAATTTTCAGCTTATTTCTTCAATTTGAATATTTGATTTGTATTAGTTGGTGGGTATTTCTGATTTATGGTTCGATTAGCTGATAATATTAACTATGTGATTATTTTATTTTATTTTATTTGTTTGTTTTGGGGTTCATTTGATCATTATTATGCCGTTTGATCTTTCCTGGGATTTGATTTGGGGTTCATTTTATTTGTTTTAATTGTTGGGTAATTCCGACTTTTGCGCAAATCATGAATTGAAAACTTAGTTTATATTTTTTTTTGGGGAGGAAGAGTTTGTGATCTTCAATGTATCAGGGTTTGACATTCTATTTGGTTTAGATTGAAATTCTTTGATTTGGGTTGGTAATAAACAAAATTAGGTTTTAAGGGTTCATTGTTCAAACATTTGAATGATGATATCTTGAATGTTGGAGTATTTATTCAGCTATTATGACTATGATATCGGCTTTTGAATAGTGAAGAAACTTTGTAAATCTTACTAATACTTTTGAATTTGATAATGGTGGTTGTTTTACCTGTTCTTTGAGCTCTGATTACTTTTTGTCATATTGAGACTTTGGCTAATTTGTTCATTATGTTTGTTTGTTATTGCAGGGCTCAGCAATATTTCCTTTACAGGTTTGTCATTCTTCTTTGTTATGGCTTTGTAAATTCACATGGGATGAGAACGTGTTATTTTCTGTCTTCGCCCTCTCTGATATGATATTACGATCTATTGAATATACGTCATAATGTGTCGTGTCATATAGAGGCTGTATATCATGGATATTGGCCTTTTATGTGTATCAAAACCAGTACTTGAAAGATGATTATTTGGTGCTATTGGTAGCTTGATGTTGCTTCAGCTTGGTACTATCTGATCATATGTTGCGCAAATCATTATACTACCTCCTCCACACAAGGCACAAAGTATTGGGCTGCTGTTTACTTTGGTGGTCACTTATAAAGTTGTCTACTAGCTTGATCAATTTTTGTCTTGATCCATGAACTATGTATAGGTGTGCCTTTCTCTCTTCACAGTGTGTGTGTGTGTGTGTGTGTGTGCAACGTACCATTCCAATAGAGAGGTGGGCTCAATAGGTCATTGGAGAGTTTTGCCTTCATAGCTCATTATTATATATGAAGTGTCATCAAGGCTCACATATGTATGTAATATTGTAAGCAACAAAAAAGGATACCCCCCTAAAAAAAAAAAAAAACTCATAAAGCTCCTAGATCACTTGCAAGCATAACGACAGTGTGACACATCATGCTATTGACACACCTACATAAGTCATTATTTTTTATCCTAATTTGATATAAATCACTTACTTAGATAAGTCTTGGCTTGACAACTTGCACTTTAATAAATTATCGAGTTTAGATGTATGGAAGTAACGTGTCTGTGTCATAATAAATTGTTATAGCTGATTGCTGTATCGTTCTTCGTCCAACTCATAATCTCCTGCTATCATTTTTTAGCATCCACAAGATTTACTTTGTCCCAGATTTTCTAAGAGAAGCGGGGGAGAGGGGGGGGGAGTATAGAAGTTGGTATAATGAAAGGAGGATTTGGAGGGAAATAGAGGATTCAGAAAGTTGTTAGCAGGAAGAATCATCGTCAGTAAACCACAGGCTGTTTACCCTCAATTTTTAAATTATAAGAGGGTGTAGAGCTTTATCTATCGGGGAGGAAGGATCATTAAGTGAAAAACTCTTTGTTAGTGTATGATGATTTTCTATGATGTTGGGCTGTTTCTAATGTGCAATTTTCGTTCTACACTTAAATGTAATTTTACACCCTCTGACATTCTCCTCCTCATGGGCTTTGTGTAGACTGTAGAGAACATGGGAAGGATAAAGTGAGGTTTTAAGATGGACTTCCTGGTTTTTAATAATGAGAAGGGTTTAGAAATAAAGTAATTTTTCTAGTTCCTCATTATGTGCTGATGTAGTCTTGTAAATTGTATGTTTTTATAATCATCTTGCTTGGAATAGTCATCACCAATTTGTTCTCATCCTACCTTCCATTTTATGAAGGTGATAACCCTCTTGTTTGTATATTCCAGGCACGATGTCCCAAGTTTTTGTAAATATGGAATATCTTAAAGTCACGAGTCTTGAAACTGCTCTTAGGTTTATCTCCTGTGTTGCATGTGAAGTAGAGTAAAACCCTTTTGATTTACAAACAAACTTTTTTTTTTCCCTGTGAAAACTGAAGGAAAGTTCCTGTAGCCAAAGCTTTTTCCTTGTTTTATGTAATACAAACTCAAGTAAAAGTAATTTATGTTTTCATAAATTTGGTTTGTTCTCATTTTACACTTTAAGAATCTCCCAAAAGTATGATTTTGTGGTGAAGAGATGATAAATCTATATTGAGATTGGACTTTTTGTACCCTCTCAAGGTTGACTGAGTAGTTTTCTCTACTTGTGATTGTGAATAGAAATGTGATTGTCTTTTTGTTAAAATGTTTTTATCTGAAATTTAATTGTTTACCCAATCTCTGAGTTAGGGCACAAGCTTTCCTTTTGTGGTTTCCTTGCATCATGTTTATCTTTTATTAAATGCCTAATGACTACTGTACATGTGCTTGTAGCTTTCTTAAATCTGTAACTACAGGACTGTCCCACTAGAAACTCTTGTTTGGGATTCATATTTTGGGATTGTTATTTTTATTTTCCAAGTGCTTTATATCTAAATTAAGTATCTTTCCCTTCCAAATTTCATCTTCATCTGCACGGTTTTGGCTAACTAGTAATGAATATGGTGGTTGGAAGGGGTTAAACGAGGGAGAGGGAGACCGATAATGACTTGGTTGGAAAGAGTTAGGAAGGATATGAAGTATATGGATTTGCATGAGGATGAAGCATTGGATCGTAAGGGATGGAGGAGGAAGATTTTTGTGGATGACTACACGGAATAATCAAATTTGGTTCATGTAGCCGACCCCACTTATGGGATTCAGGCTTTGATTGATGGATTGATTGAGTAATGAATATGGTGGTGTTGATATCTTCCCTTGCTGTACATCCTCAATTATTCCATGATTCCATCTGTACGTATTATATAGTGACTTCTGTTAATGTTTGTTTTCCCTCCTAAAGTTTCCTGTGAAACCTACTTATCCTGTTGCAGCCATTTAATAAATGCGGTTACATAATTGGTCAAATCTCTTATACAATGACTGCATTGGAATTAAAGTTTAGATAATGAATGCTCAACATTTTTTTTTGTTTTAGTTTTACTTTGATTTTATAAAACAAGCAAGCCTGGCTTGATTATTAGTTTATCTCCTACTTTGTTGCTATAAGTCCTATGATACATCCCTCATGCTTGGGTCATCCTAGATGTGCACAAGCTTTTGCTTTTGAAGTGTCAATGTGCTTTGAACTTTCAAGAGTTAATCTACGCTATTCTCCCAAACCACTTGGGCTCTGGGCTGCTTTGAATTTATAGACACAACTTATGTGCTTTGACATAGTGTGTCTGCTGCACCTTAATGATGGCAGGAGTGCCTTTGGTCAAGTACTGAGTGCTTTGAAGTGATATGCGTATCTTGTGATATAGCATGGACAATTTCCATCTAGAGTAAATAAACTATATGGGATTAAGGCGTTCAAGCAAGCAAGCAAGTAAATAAACTATATGAACGCTGTTATAGATTATTTGGGCAAGCTGTTTACTCTTGCAATCTCAAACTTACCTGCAATAACTTTATGCTGATGCTGTTACTGATTCATTTTCATTATAATCAGATTGTTCAAAGCATGATCCAGGGGTCAGTGAAGATACTGAGAAGAATTTTGCTGAACTGCTAGCTGAGGAATTGAAATTAAGAGAAGCTGAGGCTGCAGAAAATCAGAAGCGTGCTGACATGGCTTTGCTGGAAGCTAAGAAGGTCACTTCCCAGTATCAAAAGGAGGCAGACAAGTGCAATTCAGGAATGGAAACCTGTGAGGAAGCCAGGGAGAAGGCTGAAGCAGCTTTGGTGTCGCAGAAGAAATTAACTGCAATTTGGGAACAACGGGCTCGCCAAAAAGGATGGAAGGATGGAGTTACCAAGTCTGGTGCTCAGTTGCAAGGAAATGTTCAGTCTGTATAGTATACTCTGTAGTTATTCAGAAGACTCGCGCCTAAACCTTCTATCACAGATACTGAATTACAGCCAAGAATGCCCATTCATGGTGTGTGGCCCCCAGAATCCACGAGCTGCTTGTTGCTTACTGTCATCATAACCATCGAGAATTTATCGCTGGAGCTTGGATAGTGGTCTGTACACATTCAGCATAACAAGATGTGCATAATTGCTTCAAAATTTAATTTTGTAAACACAACCAATTCACTTTAGCCTACTGAAAATGTAAGGTAGATTCTCTACGGCAACTTAGTGTTTTGTCTAATTATATTTGGTAAACAGGAAAATTTATTAATATCTCCAATGGCCTTAGTGTTTTGATCGAAACTTACTGCTTGAGCTTTGAAGGATTTCCTTAATCTAAAACGTGAGGGTTCTAAGCTAACAATCTGGCTATCAGGTGCTGGGTAACATTTTGAAATTATTAGGTACATGATAATGATCCACTAAGCTATTACTTCCTCCATTTCACAACTAGTTTAAACATTATTCAAATATCAAAATTTTATGAGTTAAGAATTAAGATGTTAAATATGTGAATAGTATAAACTAAAACAATAGATTAATGTAAACCACCAATTATATGATAATTATTTATTATTATCAAGTAGTTAGTAGCTATTCAATTAAAAGAGCCAACAATAATGTTCAATTCGTTATTAAATAAATGTATCACATAGTCATACATATGATAAGAATGTAAAAAACATGCGAAATTGTCTTTTGGTGGATGTTGTTAGGTATCTTAATAAGTTTCTGCGTAGACACAACGTAATGAATGTATCTCGAGGGTCTTAACCTCATTTCTTGTATGTAGTAAGCGTGACATTATCGATTGGTGAGTTTTTCATAACCTCCGATTGCTGGTAGAATTCAGTTAATTTTGTTGTATAGATATGAAGGTATATACAACAGTTAAGCCTTGGTCATATTTAGTTGTGTTTTCATTTCATTACATGTCCCTGTGTCACAGTTCTCACAGAGGAGTAGAGGACTATCTTTATGTCTTCAGTGCTTAGTCTAATGATGCATTTATTCTTTTCAAATAGAATCCATACAACTGCAGCAAACATGTACATGTTATGTGTATATTAGCATATTATCTTAATATGGGCAAATATGATGGCTTATATTCGCTGCCATTGCACGTATTTGATTAGCAAAAACAGGATAAGAACAAAATTGATGCTCGATTATTCACAAAAATACTAGATTTACAGAACCCAGCTACAGGATCAGAGTTTACAAAGGTAGGATGGACCATTGCAGAGTTTACAAAGGTCGAAGGAAGGACCACTCCAAAACTATAATATCTACGAGTAAGATGAAAATTCTAAGCTAAAGCAGATACATAGGCAGTGGGGAAGCCTTTTGAGTTCACCAACTTTGAGCATCATATTTCATCCTAACGATCCAGAACCAAGGCAGTTGATTTACAAATCGGGCACACGTTCTTCAAGAGCAGCCACTTCTTCAAACAATCTACATGATATTCATGTCCACACTCTAGGGTTCCCAGCTGCTCATTGTCTTCGTATTCATCCTGCAATGCCAATAACAACCATCATCATACTGCTTACGGAGCCATTATTTCATTTAACAGGTTAAGGTTTTATTTAAACTTCAACCAAGCTTACTTTAACACCCGGAACAGAAGGATAGCACAGAACATCATAGTAATTTTTACCTGACATATGATGCATAAATCGTTGGTTTGATCTCTACATGACAACTCCTCTGAATTGATAGTAGCTGCAGTAGATTTCTTATATCTTCTGGTTTTCAGATGGCATCTGATGTCTTTCTCTGTCAACCCAGTACAAACTGTCCCAATACGTTCACTCAAAGCAAGAAGCTCCTGCAACAAAGAAAGCAAATATCATGTCATATCACCAATGCTAGGGTACAAGGAAAATCTACATGTCTGATTACACTCTGTAATTAATCTGCAAGAACAAGTATTATTTTACAAACAATATATAGTTATATACAATCAAGATCAGATTCATAACTCACCGCATAGGACATGTTGTCAATATCCAAACGCATATTCCTTTGATTATCATTGATGCTCTCAACATTGTAGTCTACTTCATAAAGGTTTGGAAATTCCAAAAGCGCAACTCCCTACAAGCAGCGAAGCAGAATATAAACATTCAAAATATTAACAGTTGTTCCTCATCTAAATTATATGTTGTGCAGCATTTTAGTATTATCAGCTGTAAGTCTGTAACTCTAATGACCCAAATAACGGAAAATCTACTTTGTGAATAGCATTCTACGCAAAAGCAGATAACATGAACAAGTGTCATGCAACATATGAAGATATGCGGTATTTCAGAAGCTGTTTCAGCTTATGACCCAAATTATGTAATTCTAACCTATAGTCAGAGAAATATGAGGAGTTTAATGGATAGACATACATCTACTGGAAGAGTCCTTAAACGAGGAAGATCACGACGCCTGGAAGCTACAGCAGGCACAAGGCTTCTTCCTTGAGAGCGATATGTTCTTATGCCCGTTGGCCTGTTTGATGGCTCTGCAATTTCTTGGGATATCGGCAAAAAATTATGAAGCATACCATCACTTGTTGGAACACTACTTCGAGCTGCCAGAAAAGGAGGATAACTCACCGCATAGGACATGTCATCAATATCCCAACGCATATCCCTATGATAATCAATGATGCTCTGGACATTGTAGTCTACTTCATAGACGTTGGGGAATTCCAAAAGCGCAACTTCCTACAAGCAACGAAGCAGAATATTAACATTCTATATAAAAACAGGTGTTCCTCATCTAAAGTATATTTTGCGCAACATTTTAGTATTGTCAGTTGTATGCCTGTAACTCTAATGGCCCTAATAACGTCAATTCTCCTTTACTTGTTCCCAGAGCAATAAATGAGTAAAGATTAATGAATAGCATTCTACGCAAAAGCAGATAATAACAAGTGTCACGCAAGAGATAAACATATGTAGTATTTAAGCAGTTGTTTCAGCTTACAATCCAGATTATGTAATTCTATCTATAGGCAAGAGAAATATATTCAAGCCTCTGTTTCAGCTTATGACCCAGTCACCCAGATTATGTAATTCTAACCTATAGACCAAAGAAATATAAGTGGGAGTTTAATGGATAAACATACATCTACTGGCAGAGTCCTTAAACGAGGAAGATCACTGCGCCTGGAAGCTACATTGGGCACAGAGCTTCTTCCTTGAGAGCGATATGTTCTACTGCCTGTCGGTCGGTTTGCTGATTCCGCACTTCTTAGGGAAGCAGACCCACGGCGCCTGGAAGCTACATTGGGCACAGAGCTTCTTCCCTGAGAGTGATATGTTCTAATGCCAGTCAGCCGGTTTGCTGATTCCGCACTTTCTAGGGAAGCAGATCCAGAATCATAATTAGGCCGCCGCCGCCCTGAGGCCTGAGAGAAGTGGTCTTTCATAGTTCAATCCAAATATTAAAGGGTTCTGCAATACATCAGGAACCAAATTTAATAGTCATCAAATTAGATTAGAAAAATCACATACTTTAAGGGAGTAAGCAAATTTGATTCAATTATCAAATTATTCTCATAATTTTCTACTCTACCAACAAAATCGCTATCATAACCTTAGTAATTAGAAGCAATAGTTCAAAATCCGAATCCTATATTTAGTATACTGACAATTAAACTAAAGGTTTACTAAACTAAATTAGACAAACGATAAACCCTAGATTGTGAAACTGAAATTCAATTATTAGACTAGAAAAATCAAATTAGACTAGAAAACTCACAAAATTTAAGGGACAATAGGCACATTTGATTCAATTATCAAATTACCGTCATAATTTTCTACTCAACCAACAAAATCGCTCATTTGATCTTTCATAACCTCAGCAATTAGAAGCAACAGTTCAAAAATCCAAACCCCATATTTAGTATACTGACAATTAAACTAAATTAGATCAACGATAAACCCTAGATTATGAAATTGATATTCGATGATTTCAAATATTTACCTCAGAAGTTGCTTCAATGGAGGGTTGAAAATAACAGAAGGCTGTTCAATGGAGAACGTGGAGTTTGCTTTACTGGAGAACGTGAAGCGCGCTTCAATGGAGAACGTTGAGTGCCCTTCAATGGAGAATATTGAGTGAGCTGCAACGGGAAACAGAGAGAGAGAGCGAGTGAGTGAGTGCGCTATAACGGCACAATAATAGGTTTATAAGCAATAAACCGCGTAATACGTTTGGCGGATTTAATTACGCGGTTTTTTTAATTATTTTATTTATTTTTTTTTAATTTTTTTTACCGTTGATGATATTTGTATCAGTTGAAGCAACTTGTGCAGTTGTATTCAGCCTCACAAAATATATATATATATATATATATATATATATATATATATATATATATATATATATATATATATATATATATATATACGGGGAGGTTCCGCTAAAAACAGGGCTTATGGTGAAAACTAAAAACAGAAAATCTCAACCATCCATTATTACTAACAAGATCTAACGGTTTAAAAAAAATAAAATAACATAGAGTCACTATATATAAAAATAACGTAACTATATACAAAAATAGGGTAACTATATCAATTTTTACAACATTTGTCACTATATACAAAAATAGGGTAACTATATCAATTTTGATCCTATTAATAGAAGTCACTATATACAAAAAAAGGGTAACTATATCAATTTTGACCATATTTACATAGAAGTCACTATATACAAAAATAGGGTAACTATAACAATTTTTACAACATTTACATTAAGGTCACTATATACAAAAATAAAGTAACTATATCTGAGTTTTTGACACCATTTACATAAAGGTCACTATATACAAAAATAAAGGTCACTATATATAAAAATAAGGTGATTGAACCAAAATTTACAACATTTCCATAAATCTAAGGTCATTATATCGAAAATAAGGTAACTATATATAAATTTCGGGTAATTATATATATCAATTTGACACCATTTACCCAGAGGTCAATAAATATAAAAATAAGTATTAAAAAAGTCTATGTAGGATTCGAACCTACATCCCGTGATTACACGGTGCTCGACCAATTGAGCTAATAGGCTTTCAACATGCCAAAAACGTAGAGGCTTAAAACCAACACATATTTTAGATTCATAAACATATTCACTAAAGTCAAGTACCTTTACCAGAGTTTTCAAGCAGATCACATACCCTTCCAAAGTTGTGGGTCTAAAAGAAGACACTTCAGGATTCATACAGTCACTTTCAGGAAAAATCTCCGGAGCCTCATCCAACTTGTCATTACCACTAGTAACTTCTTTTTTTTGGTTGAAAGGAGGCCAAAGGTATGTTGATATCAAGTACAATCCAAACCATGAAAGCTTCAGCAATTAAGTGGCGCATATTCCCAGCTGCAAGTGAATGTAATAAACGAATCATCAGCAACAATTCAAACTCACATGTGGCATCAGCAAAGCATATGCAGTTTTTGTGATAATAGATCACTAGTAGATATTCTGTCTGTATTGTTGGACGTTTTTATATATATATATATATATGCTTCTAAGCAATTTGATTTAATCCATTTTACAGTGGACAATCAATGTATACTGACACCCACACAATCAAGTTGAGCCAATCATGTAACAGCTCTAATTAGCTCTAAGAATTGTTTATTGATCAAGAATGTATCATACAAAGCCACATAATTTGTTTAAATGAATTACTTTACATATTTCTATTATAATAGAATTAGTCATTAATCAAAGTATCAATTCTCTTATTTCATTGGTAAAAGTATACCTTGGTAAAAGTTAGGCCAAGGTATTAAGCTATGTAAACCCATGAATAGCAGAATTGTACTGGTATGCTACACTTGAAATTCCTGACAATATAGTCGGGGAAAAAAAAAAGGTAGCACTTTATTAGTTGCTAAACATGTGGTGGAACCTCAAAATGTAGTTCTTCATTCATCTATGACTCCAAAATTCAGATAGAAAACACATATTAGATTGAGCTCAGCTTGTATTCTCTTATAGTACAAGGCAATTGGAAACTGTCTAGATTTGATCTGTATATTATATTTGAATTCTGCTCATATTTAAGTAATACAATGTTCTATTTGAATTCTGCCCATAATTATTCATGATGTTGAGCTAAGGTATCCAAATCCTCGAATTCTGGCTACCTTGATTCAAGTTCAAAACAGGCCTAATTCAGAAATTTTGAAGCAAAATCCAGTACAGAGTCAAATTAACCATGCACATATGTCAGACTAGAAGTACACTTTTCAACAGTCAAGAAAGTCATGTAGATGTCGATTTAGCATGATCAGAAGCAATCTATCAAGCAGTTAGCTCCAAGTTTCAGAAAAAAGAAACAAATAGAAGAAAAAGAAACTCAGAACCAACCTCTATAGTGGGGGCAATAGCATTTGAGCCACTATTTCCTCCCTTCCCAACATCAAGATGAACTGAGATGTTAGCCAGTGACAAATCCACCTCAGATGTCTGTAGCTCCAGGGTTAGTCGCTTAAGCAGTCTGCTCAACACCAAAAGTCGGACATATAGAATCAAAGTCAGTATCTTAAACCAGGAAGCATTCTTCATACTTTATGTAAAATCAGCTAAAATCAAACACTAATTTGAACACTAAATCTCTGAAATTCGAAATTTAAAATCGAACTATAGATCCGAAAAAATAAGCAAAAATCGAAGCCTACATTTGCAAAAATGGAACTCAAAAAAAATCAAACTCCGCAAAAATCAGCTAAAATCAAACACTAATTTGAACACTAAATCTCTGAAATTCGAAATCTAAAATAGAACTATAGATCCGCAAAAATAAGCCAAAATCGAAGCCTGTATTTGCAAAAATCGAACTACAAAAATAAATCAAACTCCATGCGAAACTCTTAAAATCAAATCAGAAAAAATCGAACTCATGCAAAATTCATGAAAATTGAACAGAAAGAACACAAATATCAAATCACAAAAATCGCTGAAAATTCGTGAAAAAACAAACAAATTGTCGAATATAATCATACCTGATTGTGAAATCTAGAGATTTTTCGCCATAATTTGATGCAACACAGTAGAGAGAGTAACAGAGAAGCTGGTTGAAGAGAGAGAAAGTACGAAAGAGGAGAGAATAGAAAGGAGAGAGAAAATAACGTGAAAATTAAGGAGAAGAGAGAAATTCATGTCTGAAAAGAGGAAAGAAATCTCAGCCATACAATTTGATGAACGGCTGAGATTAAAAGTTTTCAGTTTTTATTTTAACACTTGTTTTTACCTGATCCTATTCCTATATATATATATATATATATATATATATAATTGCAAAAATATTTCCTTTTTTTATTTAATATTTTTTTTTTATTGAAGCCGATAAATAAACGCAATACAAGTTTGATTATTATCAATACTAGATTTAACATTTACTATTCAATCGTAATAACAAAATTTTAATACATAATATTACTATTTGTTTTTAATTTTATACAATTAAGGTTCACACATATACAAATATTGTATATTTTGTAAATTTTTTTATTTAAACAACAATATAAACCAACTCTTGAAGAAAAATAGAAAGAAAATAAAATATGTAAAGTTATATGTTTTTGTTTAACCAACTTTTTTTCAAATTGTGTACAAGATGAAAATGTGATCTTCTAAGCTTCCATCATCCTTTGTAAATCAATCGTTGACCGTGCCAGCTGATAAGTTGCATAATTAAACCTACCCATTTGCAAAATTAACATCGTTGCAAAATTAACATTATGATCACCGTCCATCGTATTCAAGAATTTCAGGGTGTTTAAATTCTAAATATGCTTCTTTGCCTACAAAAGTTGTACGTTTATTTGTGTGGGACATTAGATGAGTTTATATAGGATTGAAAAAATATTGAATTTAAAGTGATGATAAAGTTTATTATTAGATATGATAAATTTTGTTAACGTATAACATAATCTTTTAGCCGAATAAATGATAAATGATGAACATTTTTATTGCTGGAAAAAGAGAAAAGATATACTTTTAGTTTCAATGATTTTTTTCTTATTTTTTGTATCTAATCCAACATTTTATTTTTTTTAACGTAATTTCATATTTTTTTATTAATTTTTTTTATAAAATATTTTATTATAATCACTTCTCATATTTCATTATTTTTTTTATCTAATTCAATTTTTTTTTAATATCAATTGAATGTAGATTTCAATGTTTAAGTTTAATAGCATTTTTTTATATATACAAAATAAAATAAATTTTTTCTTTTATCTTAAATAAAATTTCCAATTTAAAAAGATAATATTTTATTTTTATAATGAATTTAAACTTTTAATTTTAATAGTACGTGGCGCTTCAAAATAATAATCCTACGCGTAACGCTCTAAAAAAACTAATTCTACATGGCGCTCTAATAATTTTTAAAAAAACTTAAAATCCTACATGGCTTCCTAAAAACTTGGGAAAAAACTTCCCTTTATATATATACTAGTTTTGTGCCCGGGCGATGCCCAGATGATTGATAAAATTTTAAGATACCCCTTCCGTCCCATAATACTTGAGACGTTGGGGTGGACAAGTTGTTTAAGAAAACTACAAGTAGATTCATTTAAAATATTTGTTTATTGTATAAAAGATTTTCTTTTGTATTTTTATATTGTAAAAAAAACAACAAAGTGGAGTGGGACTGGGGTAGGTGAGGTGAGAGAAAATGTGGAAAATATTTTTTTATTAGTGATCCCATTCTATTTTTAGTAACATGTCAAGTATTGTGGGACGGACGAAAATGAAAACTGTGTCAAGTATTATGGGAGGAAGGGAGTAACATTTTTGCTTGAATGTTAAATACAGTCAAATAATTAGTTATGATAATGTAGGATATTTAGACATGCGATATCATATAAAGTGTACTTTGTATAGTTTTGTTTGTAAATAGATATATGTTATTATTGACTTACAATTATTTTTAGGATTAATACTGTTTTTTAATCCCAACTCTGCCCAATTTACTTTCATTAATCCCAACTTTTGATTATTCTGCAATAATCCCAACTTTAGGGTGCCTTTTCTTTATTCAATCCCAAAAATCGGCAACCCGCTGAAATGGTTAATTTTGTTTTAATTTTTCTAATATGCCACGTGTTGAACATTTATTGGTCCAAAAAATGAAAACCAAAAAAATAAAAAATAAAACTAAAAAAATTTAACAAATCACCCCTCCCTTTACTATCCCCACCATGAACCTCCCCCATATCTTCCTCCCCACTCCCCAACCCAACCGAAAACCACCACCTTCACCTCAAACTAGCCTGACTTGTGAACCCGCTCCCACCCTCACACCGGAATTCCTACCCCCACCCTGAAACCCCATCGACCCACCTCTATAACCACACCCCACCGAGCCACCTCTAAAACCACACTCCACCATGAAATCTCACCTAGCCACCCCTACAACACCACCCCTACACCAAAAACCCCACTACCACTTCGAAACACAAATACTGCCATAAAACCACACCCAGCCACACTGAAGCCCGCGTTAGATCGGAACCATACCCCCTAAAACCAGACCAGCCACATCCAAACCCGTGCTAGATCGAAACCCCATTCAACCCCTAAACCCATTGAAACTCAGGCTAACTGAAAGGGAAAGAGGTGGGGGTGTTGTTCGGCGAAGAAAGGGTGGGGGTAGCTTCGGTCCGCTGGGGTGGGGCTACTCCGGTATGAAAAGGGGTAAGCAGGGGAAGGGGGTTGATTTGGGGGTCGGGAAAGGGAGAAGGGAAATGTGGATTGGAGGTGGTCGTTTAGGGGTGGTTTCAGTCCGACGGTGGTAGCGATGTGGGGTGCCATTTAGGGTAGGGTGGCGCAAGGGCAGGGAATGGGTGGTCGTTCAGGGGGAGGGGGCCGGGCTGGGGTTTGGAGATTTTTTAACTTTTTTTTTTGTTTTTTTTCTTTTAATTTATTTTTGAACCACTCACATATCGACACGTGTCTAGTAACCTACAATAATAGGTTGTTGACTTTTGTTGACCGGTTTGGGTATGAAGAAAGATAGACCACCTTAAAGTTGGGATTATTGAGGAATAATCCAAAGTTGGGATTAATGAAAATAAATTGGTTAAAGTTGGGATTAAAAAACAGTATTAATCCTTATTTTTATTGAACTTAAACTATTTTCATTGAACTAAAAGTATTTTTACCAAACTAAAATTATTTTTACTGATTAAAACCTATTTTTACTGATTCTCTAATTTTTTTTAGGAAAAATTGCATTTATTAATCCCAACTTTGCACAATTTCATTTTATTAATCCCAACTTTGGAATATTCTGCAATAATCCCAACTTTGATATGGGCTTTCATTCCTCAAACCCAAAAACTGGAAACCGGCTACGGAAGTAAATGTTGAGTCAACAAACATCAATATTGACTTTGATCAGCAATTCCCTCCTAAAATAATGTCCAGTCAGCATCACCTTCAAACTACTCCTTGTGGCAAAATTAAAGTCTCGCCATTAACACCTCTGCAACTTTCACTTTTCCCCCAAATTAACACCCATTGTACTTCTCTGAGAAACCGAAAAATTGTAGCGGGAAGGCAAAGTGTTGTCTAGGGTTTTAATTTGAGAAAAGGAGCAGGTCAGTTGATGAATGCGAAGCAGGGGACGCAACAAGGAAGTAGAGGTAACCCTAAATTCGTAACTTTTTGGTAATTCTTTTATTTAGTCAAGCAATTTCGCCAACCAAAAATGGTTTATAGTTGTGTGAATTGTTGTTTATGAACCGAAAATGCCCTAAAAATCAAAACTTGGAATTAGGGTTTCTGTGATGTGAATTCATTTTTATGAATCGAAAATGCCATAAAGATCAAAACTTGGAGTTAGGATTTCTTTGATGTTTCTATTTGTGTATCTGTGATGTTTCTGTTTGGGTTTCTTTGATGTTTCTGTTTGTGTTTCTATGTTGGTACAATGGTTGATTTATGTTGCATTGTCTGTAGCTAGTAGTGTAGTACTGTTTCGAAATTGAATTTTGATAGTGAAATTGTAGGTTGAACATGAATACTAATTTTAACAAGATCATATTGAAGTTTTGGCATTCTGGGACTTTTACTATAAAGTCTGATGGTGAATTGGTGTATGTGGGAGGGAAGGGTAAAACAATGGAGGTTGATCCAGATGAGTTATGTGTGTGGGACATTGTGCAGATGGGGACTGAGTGTTGTGGTGGGAAACATGTTGAAGCTGTGTTATATTTGATTCCTGGACTAACCATGAGTAATGGTTTGAGGAGGATTAATGGTGATGAAGATGTGAGGGAGGTGACAAAATTAGGTGCTAAATACAGAGTTGTGGAGATGTATGTACACCATGGTGCTGAGTTACCAGAGTTGGACCCCACAGACCCAACTGATGTCCAAACACATTTTCAAATATTGCCCCAAGAAGAAGAATCTGATGAGTGTGATTCCTCTAAGTACCAGAAAAAAAAAAAAAAAAAAAAAAAAAAAGAGGGGGACCACCTAAAGGTAGTTTGACTCTAAGTCCAAAAGGAAAAGCTCCCATCCCCTCACATTTAATAGGTAAAGGTAATCCCACATTTAAAAAAACAGTTTCCAGCTCACATAAAGTTAAATTTGTCTCTAAGTCAGCCCAGCTCCCTCCTTCCAGTGCTTCTAATCCAGATCTAGGTTTAGGGAACCTTCTTCTTTCACAACATTCATACCAAACACAACCTCCTGTATATGAAGATTACAATTGGATTGATGACAGACCTGAGTCTCCAGTTCCCTTACATGAGTTAGTAGGTGGTGGTAACACTGAAACTAGTGAGGACACAGACCCTCAATATGACCCTAAGACTGATAAAGGGAAGGGAGTTGCAGTAGATAGTGAGAGGAGGGTGTTTGGTGATGTGTACACTGATGAGGATAGTGATGAGGACAACTATGACCCTAAGACTGATAAAGGGAAGGGAGTTGCAGTAGCTACTGAGAGGAGGGTGTATGATGATGTGTACACTGATGAGGATAGTGATGAGGACAACTTTGATGTAGAGAAACCTGTTCCTGGAGCTGAAGAAGAATTAGATGTGGGGTTGGAGCAGTTAGATCCAGAGGTTGAGAAAGAATATGAAGATGCAATATTCAATGAGACATTACAGACTGATTCTGATGTGAGTGATGAGGAGTACAACACAGCTAGGGAGAGGGTTAAAGCTTGTAGTACACAGTAATTCAGGCTGCATCTAAAGTTATACATGAAGTAGTTGAGGGAAATCTAAGTGTCCAAGATCCAGTGACTGAAGTAGAAAATTTCAGTGAATATGAGGAATCTGATGAGGAGTTGCATACACCATCTGGGAGTGAAGATGAGGGAGGTGATGGTATGAGGAAGAGAAGATCTACACTGCTTGTAAGCCCAAATACAGATTTCAGTCAATTCAAGTGGAAAGTGGGTTTAAGATTTGCCAAAAGGGAAGATTTCAAGGAGGCAGTTGCCAAATATGATGTGTTACAAGGTTAAAACTTAACTTTTGCTGTTGGGAACAAGAAGAGACAATAGAGGGTAGGAGTGAGATGCAGTAAAGGGTGTAATGTTTATGCATCTTGGCATTCAAGAAAGGCAGCCTTGATTGTGAAGAGGGTGAGTGGAGAGCATACCTGCCAGAGGAACATGAAGAAGAACAGGCAGTTGAAAGCTACCTGGGTTGCAAAAAAATTCCTTGAAGTCTTCAAAAACAGACCACATTGGCCTGCAAAGGAAATAGTGGACTGCATTAAAAGAGCTTTCAAGGTCATTGTGAATAGGATGTTTGCTTACAGAGTGAAATATGCTGCCCACACTCTCCTACATGGTTCAATGCATGACCACTACGAAAAAGTGGGAGCTTATCTTGCATCATTGCAGACAAGCAGCCCTGGAAGTACATATGAGCTAGTGAGTGTGCAACAGAAGAAGGGTCCACCTGTGTTTCAAAGATTTTTCATGTGCTTTGAGGGGTTGTCCAAGGGATGGATAGATGGTTGTAGGAAGGTGTTGGCTGTTGATGCAAGCTTTTTGAAGACCTTTCTAGGTGGTCAATTGCTTTATGCTGTTGGAAGGGATGCCAATGACCAAATGTTCCCAGTGGCATGGGCTGTTGCTGAGGGTGAGAATAATCTGAGTTGGGAATGGTTTTTTGTGCATCTACAAAAAGTGTTGGAGTTGGGAGATGGTGAAGGTGTTGCAGTCTTGTCTGATGAGCACCAGGTATGAGCACTTTGACTTTTATTCACTCTAAGCACAAATTTGTTTTCAAATAATTTTTGCAACTTCCTAATTATTGCACTTGCTTTGATGTTAGGCTATTGTCAATGCTTTGTCCTCTGTTCTGCCCCAAGCAGAACACAGGCATTGTGCCAGACATATATTTTCCAACTGGCACAAGACATATAGAGGAGATGAGCTGAAGTTGCAATTCTGGAAGATTGCTAAGTGTTACAACAAGGCAGATTTTGATGATGCATTGAACGACCTCACTGTAATCAATTTTGAAGCAGCTGAGGCATTCAAAGGCTATAATCCTAGCTTATTTTGCAGAGCTTTCATGAGTACTTAATGAAAACTGATGCAATAACCAGCAATATTGCAGAAACTTTCAATGGCTATATAATAAATGCAAGAACAAAGCACATGTTGTACATGTTAGAAGATATCAGAACATGCTTGATGCAGAGGCTACTCAAAAAAAGGCAAGAGATGGAGAAATGGTCAGGTGTTCTGTGCCCAAGAATTCAGGCAAAGTTGGAGAAGGAGAAACACAAGGCTTCATACTGTGATGTGCAGCCTTCCACAGACCAATTATTCAATGTCACCAATGACCTAGACCAACTAGTTGTTAATTTGCAAGAAAAAACTTGCAGTTGTAGGAAGTGGGAAATGGTTGGCATTCCCTGCTGCCATGCAGTTGCTTGCATCTTCTTTATGAACAAAGAAGTAGAAGACTATGTGGACAGGTGTTACACAAGGGAAGCATATCTACAGGCTTATGCAGGTATACACTAACTCTTCTCCTATGTGACACTAATTTAACAACTTACTACTAGTTTACCTGATGTGCTTGAATAAATTGACTGGGACAGGTTCAATTCCACCCCTTGAAGGTGAGAGGTTTTGGCCAAAAGTGCAATGTTCCTTGGACCCACCACCAATTAAAATTGGTCCAGGGAGGATAAGGAAAAATAGAATTAGGGACCCTTTTGAGAACCCTAAAAAACCTGGCTGTTTGACTAAGACTGGTGTTGAGATGACCTGTTCCTTGTGCAAACACAAGGGACACAACAAAAGAAGATGTCCTAACAGGGATACAATACCACCCCCTCCTGAACCACCTACAAAAAGGCCTAGGGGCAAGCCTAGAAAAGATGGCCAGCCACCTTATAGCAATGTGCCTGAAAACCCTCAAACTCAGCTCACAATTTCTGCATCAGCTCCACACCATTCATGCACTGCCCAGCCTGCACAACTTGGGAGAGGTGGCAGAGCTATAAGAGGAGGGTAAGGATCAAGAGGAGGTGCTCAAAGTTCTGCTACATCTACATCTTCTTCTGGTGGAAGAGGACAAGCTCAGAGCTCTGTTGGGAGAGGAAGAGGTGGTAGGTACAGCGGTGGTAGGGCAAGACAGAGAATTCTAAGAGGAGTGGGTATGTACATTGCTGAGGATGGGAGTACAACCCAATGTATGTGTTTAAATAATTGCAAATTGGTTTTGTTATCTCTGTTGTTTCATTCAGCTATTCTAACTTAGCCTACTTATTCATGTGATAGGTGCGTGGCCAATCCAACAGGAGAGGAGGACAGACACCCAGGCCAAGCCATGACCAAAGAATGAATTTCATAATCCCAAGTCAGCAATCAACCCTCCATCAGCCATCTAAGTAAAAAGCATTTCATGTCAAAGACAGTTTAGTTAGCAAACTACTTTTGTATAGTAGTTCCAGCCTAATTACTATTAGGTTGAAGTGGATATTGTTTCACTTTAGAATTAGGCAAGAATTTCCTTTTGTGTATGACACTATTTGTTGTAGCCCTGGTATTTTGGATTTGTGAACTTATAGTTGGGTTGGTACATAATGTACCTATTTTGCCAATGACTTTGCATGATTATTTGTTTATGCGCCAAAAAAAATTACAAACATTTTGTTAAGGAAAAAACCATACTTCATTTCATTTCATTTCAAAAGGTACACACCATAAATCTTACTTTAAGTACAACACCATTATGGCAAAAAAAAACCCAGGAAAATAAAAGGGCCATAAACAAATTAGTCTCATTCCTTGAACATTTCATGAGCTCAGTCCTCATGTCACATAGCTCTTCTTTCAGTTGTTGCACCACCTCCATTTTTTCCCGTTGTCCTTACATTATCTTCAAGTTGTCTTCAAGAAATTTGTTCTGCATCTCTAATTCAGCAATTGTAGTGTCCCTTTCAAATATTTCTAATTGCAGATCATCCCCATTAGTACAGTCAACCCACTTCATAAAATTGCAATTGGTATCCTGTAAGAAAAAATAAACTTTTTACTCAAAACCCTAATTACAATTGGGATTTAATTTTGCCTAACAAATAAAGTGAATTTCGACTAATTACGAGTAATTAAACCTTAAATAACTACAGGTTAACCATTACTGGCCATTTTGGGCATCCATAAAATCTGGATCCAATGTTATGCCCCCTCTTCACAGTTCGCACAACGGGGTCCAAACCACAAGTGCATTTTGTCGTGCTCTACAAACCTCCTCGCAAGTTTGAAGAAGACCCAGAGGAAGAAACTGGTACACTTCTACCTCCAGCCATTGCTAATGGTGAACTATGAGAGAAGAAGAAAAGGAGAGGATGTTGAAAACAAAGGAAACAAAGAAGAGGGGGGGTAGAAACAGGAAAATAATAGAGGGTGAAAAAGAAGAAAAATATAGGAGTTTAAAAAAAAAGAAAAAAAGAAAAAAAAAAGAAAAATTAAAGTAACAACTCTTGCCACGTAGGACAGTAACCTGGTACAACAGGTTAAGAAACGGTGTTTGGTATGAGGAATGAAAGCCCATATCAAAGTTATGATTATTGCAGAAAATTCTAAAGTTAGGATTAATAAAATGAAATTGTGCAAAGTTGGGATTAATAAATGCAATTTTTCCTTTTTTTAAAATAAATTAAATAACAATGCGGCTAACCACACCATCTGGCCCGCACAAACCCCTTTAAAACTGATTTAGTAACCAGTATAATACTAACTGAATAACCTCTAACATTGACTAAGTAACTTCTATCTATAAAACACTGATTGATTAACCACTATAACATTGATCAAGTAACCCCTATAGCACTAACGAAGTAACTCTGATCTTGTAATAGTTGGTGACAAGGTTTGACCAGCTACGTATAAAAGTTTGTGATTAATATATTATAGATGGATCTTATTTTAAAGAACTTTTTAAAATGAATTTGATGATGGAAATAGAATTGAGTTATAGGATATTTATTAAAAGTTATGATTAATTTTGTACATATGAAATATTAGAATTTTATCGATAATAAAACTCTATACAACAATTTTATCTTAAAAAATTTATCCAAAAATCGCTTACTTAGAATCATATGTGTCACAATAATACATATTTATAATAGTTACTCAATCAGTGTTATAGATAATGGTTACTTAGTCAGTGTTAGAGGTTACTCAGTTAGTATTACAAGGGTTACTCGGTCAGTTTTATAGGGGTTACTTTGTCCGACTAGATGGTGTGGCTAGCCGCATACAAAATGCATTGTTATTTAATTTATTTTAAAAAATATTAGAGATTCAGTAAAAATAAGTTTTAATCAGTAAAATTAATTTTCAGTAAAAATAATTTAAGTTCAATAAAAATAATTTCAAGTAAATAATAACATAGATATCTATCTACAAACAAAACTACAAAAAGTATTATTATATAAATATAAGCCATATGATATAGTATGTCTAAGTATCCTACATTATCAGAACGAATTATTTGACCGTATTTAACATTCAAGTGTCAACGTTATCTTAAAATTTTATCAACCATCTGGGCATCACCCAAGCACATTACAAGATCAGAATTACTTCGTTAGTGCTAAAGGGGTTACTTGGTCAGTGTTATAATGGTTACTCAATCAGTGTTATAGACAGGGGTTACTTAGTCAGTGTTAGAGGTTACTCAAGTAGTATTACAGGGGTTACTCAATCAGTTTTATAGGGGTTCCTTTGTCCGGCCAGATGTTGTGGTTAGCCGCATACAAAATGCATTGTTATTTAATTTATTTAAAAAAAATTAGAAAATCAGTAAAACAAGTTTTAATTAGAAAAAACAATTTTAATTTGGTAAAAATAATATCAGTTTAGTGAAAATAATTTAAGTTCAATAAAAATAATTTCAAGACAATAATAACATAGATATCTATTTACAAACAAAACTACACAAATTACACTCCATATGATATCGTATGTTTAAATATCCTACATTGTCTGAACGAATTATTTGACTGTATTTAAAATTCAAGTAAAAATGTTATCTTAAAATTTTATCAACCATCTAGACATCATCCGGGCACAAAACTAGTATTGTGCTCGGGCGATGCCCAGATGGTTGATATTATATTACTTATATTTATATAGTAGTGTACTTTTTGTAGTTTTATTTAATTTGTATATGGATATCTATGTTATTAATGGCTTGAAATTTCTTTTATTAAACTTAATTATCTTCGCTGAACTAAAAGTATTTTTACCTAACTAAAATTATTTTTAATGATTAAAACTTATTTTTAGTGATTCTCTCTTTTTGTAAAGTAAATTAAATGTCAACGCATTTTGTATGCGGCCTGCCACACCATGTGGCCGGACAAAGTAACCCCTATAAAACTTAACCCTTGTAATACTAATTGAGTGACTCCTAACACTGACAGAGTAACCCTTGTCTATAACACTGATTGAGCTAAGTAACCCCTATAACACTAACCAAGTAACCCCTATATCACTAACGAAATAACCCTTATAGACACGATGTTTCCAGCTACATATAAAAAGTTTGTGATTAAATACATGATGAATAAATCTTATTTTAAAGAACTTTGTAAGTCGAATTTGATGATAGAAATAGAACTGAGTAATATGATATATATATTAAAAGTTATGATTGATTTGTATATAAGAAATATTAGAAATATATCGATAATAAAACTCTGTACAATAAATCTTTTGTGCCCGGGCGATGCCCAAATGGTTGATAAAATTTTGAGATAACATTTTTTACTTGAATCATTGAATGTTAGATACAGTCAAATAATTCGTTCTGATAATGTGGGATATTAATACATACGATATCATATAAAGTTTACTTTTTGTAGTTTTGTTTGTTAATACACATCTATGTTATTATTGACTTGAAATTATTTTTATTGTACTTAAATTATCTTCACTGTACTGAAAGTATTTTTACCAAACTAAAATTGCTTTTACTGATTAAAACTTATTTTTACTTATTCTCTAATATTTTTTTTAATAAATTAAATAACACTGCGTTTTGTATGCGGCTAGCCACAT